TATTGCCTTTCCTTCTGAGGGACTCTGGTAGAAAATGTGTTACAATTGCAGTCTTTTCTGTTTTGTGAGAGGGAATCAGCCAAGATTTTTTAAAGGCTTTTCTTTTGCCCCAGGATAAAAATTGGCCACATCAGAACTGTGGTGTACTTGAACGTGAAAGAAATTGATAAGAAATGCACCACCATTAGGTGCAGCCATTCGTAAGTATGGACATCAATAGGACGAAAAATTGCCTTTCTGATAAATTCATTGTTGGACATGGCACAGAACATTCTCGCTACAAAATAATATTGTTTTCTTCCATTCAACTCAGCAGGCATTGCACAAGCCTGAGGACTGGACATCACTCATATGTTAAAAAAAACCTCCTTTACCACGTGAACAAGAAGACTGATTGACAGGGCAGATGTAGAGGGAAATCAGACTGCAGCATGCACCGTGGTGAAATAACCTTGCAGGCTGTAGTCAACATTATGTTTTCCTTCCTAACATGTCTCCTTGCTTACTGGTGACTTTTTTCCTTACATGAGAGGCCATAGTTCACCCCATGAATGGAATCAACCCTTAAACACTGCTAATGAAAATCTTTCTGTATCTACAACGGTGAAAGATACTCTGCTTGCAGTCCTAAATAAACTGTGAAGTGAGCATTAACAAAGACACAAAGATAACTGAGACCAGAATCAAAGAGCAAAGTGTACCTTCTTGGGTCTTTTCCTCCTCACAGTGACTCAGATGAGGTTGTGACCTCTGCCTTGCTTTGCAGGACGCTGTGAAATACACTCTGGGGGGACATTAAATAAAAAAAAACGCATGGAGCTGTTTTAATCTCATGTGCATTGTGCTTTGTGGTGGATAGCAGTAGTAAAAACCCATTCACAGGGTGTGGGTCCACTGGTGGAGCTGAGCTGGAAGCAAAGGGTGTTCACAGCACCAGAAGGGCAGCATCAGTGCCAAGAGGCTTTTGCTGCCTGGTGCAGTGAAGCAGAGAAGAAGCCCAGGAAATGCAAGAACCCAGTGCAGGGCATGGAATCTGCAGAACTGCAATCACAGGCACTGCTTTGGGTTTTCTTTCCCTTTTTTTTTTTTAATGCAAAAGACAAAACTACAAAAAAAAAAAAAAAAAAAAATTGAAAATGAAGCATTTTCTTTGTAAACCCAGAAGAGGAGACTATAAAACCACCCTTAATTGTGTTACAGAAGCGAAGAAAAAACCAGTAAATTGAACTGTGGATCTCTGCTGTAATTTAGCTCTATTTGTTGTAGAAGTCACTACAGAGTAGATGAGCTTGGGAAAAATTGACTAAGCATGGCGCAGAAAAGAAAATCCTAATGGCATATGTAAATTTATGTCTGTGCCCTTGGTTCAAACAAGTTACAGAGCTCATTCAAATAAGGATTAAATGAGGGGTTGCTCAAAGAATTCATTTTCCAGCTCTAAGGAAACATATTATATATTGTGTGGTTCTGTTATAGTCCCTGGCACAACAGAACTTCTCCCACTTGCTGATTTCATTACATGTGAATGTGTCACCTTGTAATGGTTGTATTAGACTAACAAAATATAAATATTTTTTTTTTACATTCTTATTTACATACAAGCATACTTTTTTCAGACACTTACACACATGTAAGAGGATATGGACATTTCTTTGCAGTTTATTTCTGTATGTTCACCTGAGTGAACTTCTTGGTCTTTCATAATTAGAAAAAAACAAATGTTTTTCAGCATGATGAAATAATAGATTTCTGTGCTGCTCTCTATATATGACAGGAATTAAAAATGTCATAGAATTAGAAGAATATTTAGAAACCAAAGGGGCTTATATTTTTCTGCACTGTAATTCAGGCTTTCTGATCACGGTTGTGTCTGCTGAAGTGGCTTGAGTTGGAAGTTAGTTTATAATTAAAAATATTTGATTTATTTTAAATAAATCAATAAAATATAGCTGCTTATTTTAATTGATTGTAGAGATACAGCAATAAGAATCAGCATAGCGTGATGTTGTGTACTGTAAATTGAGGGTTGCAGTGCTATTCCATTATTGATCTTTCAGAAAATCTCAATACAAAATAAGAATCTCTGTGGGGTGTTTCATGTACTTTGAAGCAATTCAATCCCTCTTCCTCTTTGGAACACAGCAGCAGCATCACACATGAGGAAATTCTGTGCTTCCCTTGACCCATCTGCTTAAAGCATTGTCCTCTAATCCGAAAGCAAATTCCTCTCCTGAACTTAAAAACTGTTACATGCAGACAGCTTTAGAAGTAAGCATTTGTCATTTCTTCCCTCCTCCTCCCTCTCCTAAACCTTGGACAAATCTGAACGCCATCTCATTCTTAGCGTTTCTTAGTTCTTCGGTGTTTCTGAGTCAAGGTCAAGAAGAATAATATAGCTACTCAGCTGATGTGAGTAACATGAAACATTTTCCCTCTCTCCTGGGAAATAGCTTTCACCTTCCAATAGGACTCTCATAAACTATGGAGGAGTTTACCAATCATGCAGTGTTTTGTGTCTGCACTTCAGCACTCCCTTGCAAGAGTTCTAAGAACTCCTTAGATTCCCTTTGTATTTTCTGAAGACATAGTAAGAATTTTTTCACAGCCAAACCTCTCACGTTTCCTGATGTGATCAGGTATGCAGAAGAGTATATAGTTTTTCTGAAGAGAATATGGATGTGTAACTTTTGCCTTGTTGCAATAGTTACAGATGCCTCATAGCTGGAAAGGATCACAGAAGGTTCCCTTTGCAGTCTCCATTTTGTTCCTGAGGAATGGCTGCAGGATTGTTCTGCTCAAACCAAATCCAAGCCAAAAGTAGGTGTAATAGCAGAAGGGACAACACTTATCCCAGAATCAGGGATATCCTGGAGCTGTTCATCATTCTTCTGTCACGCAGTCCTCTGCTAGGATGGTACTGAGGTGATTCAGTGGGTCTTGGAGTTCACATCCCATTCTGAGTTAATGCTTCATGTTGTCTCCAGGCTCTGATCGATGTGATTGCTTCACTGCAATTGAGTCACATCTTTTTTTTTTTTCTTTAATTTGTGATTACAGAATCTCAAGATTATTTTTATTACCAATGAAAGAAAGGTGGTTGGTGTAATCATGTCACTCCATATTCTGAAATTCCCATGTATAGTCCTGCAGGATTTGTGCCCATACTGGCTGTGCTCCAACATTATCTTCTTGCTACGTTTGTTGTTGTGGAACAACAACAGGGAATTCAGCTCTGCAATTAAAATATCTCAGAGTACTATTAGATAGTCCAGTCCTTCCAAACACAAATGGTTTAGTTCAGAAAGTATTATTTTTCCAACATTAGGGGTGATTCTCATCTGCTGTCAACCTTTCCCACTGATTGCAACATCATGGAACACTGTAATTTGTGTTCCTAGCAAAGAGTCCATCATTCACTAACATTCAGATATTTAACTCTAACACAGCTCCTCAGCTTGCATCAATCAATGTTGCTGCATTGATTTCAGTTGAGCCATGCCAGCTGAATTGCTATCTTTTTTCCAAAAAGTAGAAAAATAATTGCTTAATACTGTACAGTTTTCAGCCTGACCTTTTGAATTTTAAATCCGGCTTCTGAAAAATTACGTTTTCTACTTCAGAGATCAATCTTTCCTCTTACCACACCCACGCCACTATTGCGTGGCCCCCGCTTCCTTCATGGCTGAGTGAGAATGCTAATGCTTTTCTGCAGTTTTTATTTTGTTTTCACAAACCACCATCAGCAGTAGGTATTGCTATTTCCTAGCCTCACTGTCTCTTCAGCTATAAAGCTCCGGCTGCAACCTATTGTATATAAATGCTGTTGATTTCTTCAGACCACATCACTTTGTGAAAAAAAGAAGGAACAAAATAAAACAGATCAAATCTTATTATTGCACTCAATAGTCTGACTGTGCAGGCAGAAGCTCCATATTGAAGGAACTTTAATCCTGACAGGGCTCTTATAGATAAACATATACCAGCGTGTGCAAATCAGAATTCTGGCTGAATGCTTTCAGTATCATTTCCTTGCTTGAACAATCTAAACTTTATTTTCACATTTTCCACAATAATTTCTCATCATTTTTGTCCATTTTTCAGTTCTTACACGGTATAAAGCTGCATATATAGGTGTAATTTGTATGGTTTAATAGTTATATAAATTCCCCTTTTCACAATGCAAATACTTCTGCTTTCTGGTACAGCAAAACAACAACAACAAAAAAAGATGACATTATTTAGTATTTTCACTGTGTAACTGCTGCCTCCTTTGAAAATAGCAGGTTTTATGTAATAGCTAAAACTGTAAACAGTATTTCTGTATTTTTTTATTTTTTCCAAGCAAACTACAATCAGTTTTCAATCAATTTGGTTCAGCTATGCTTTACAGGAAGAATGAATAAAAAGGAAACTGGTCTCGGGAGGGAGGGAAAAGGAGAAACATGCATTTGCTAATGGCATGGTGATACCTTTGCTTCCATATTCATTCTAAATAAACATGAAAAATGTTTGGCATATGACTGTAGGAAGAACTCATCCACAACACATGCTCTTTATCATAGTAATCCTACAGAAGTGTGTTGCCAATTGCAAGTGATTCACAGCATGCACAATCAGGTTTCACATTGCCAAGATATCCTTAAGTTGAATGAATTGCGTGACTTTGCTTATTTAATAGCATGTTTGCCTCCTTGTGCCTCTTTAAGAGACGGTGTGAGCCCAGAACAATTCTTTGGTATGAAGATGATATTTTCTTTCTACTTTCAGGTTTTATGACAGTTGTTGCTTGTAATATTCCAAGAAGCTTTCTTCCTACTTGCATTGCTTGCTTGCTGATTTACTACATATTGAGCAACCTGAATAGTATAAATATACATATGTAAACTGCACATTTGGATTTCGGCCATCATGCTTGCTTTTAACGGCTTCAAAATTTGTCTGATTTAAACTAGTACTTAGGAGTTAACTTTATTTATTAGTTCTACATTCCTTCTTTCTAGGCTCTCAAGGATGATGATGCTGAGACTGGGCTGACTGACGGGGAAGAGAAAGAAGAGCCGAAAGAAGTGGAGAAACTAGGGAAAATCCAATATTCTTTGGATTATGACTTCCAGAACAATCAGGTTTGAAACAACCAACCTGTAACATTTCAGTTGTCTGTATGCAAGGGGAGAATGAACTTATACCTGTAGGTACAGTAGAATTTTCTGAAATCCTTACTGAGTAAAGGAAGAATGCAAGACTGCAGATGCATGACAGAAGTATTACTAAATTAGCATACAGCATACTCTGAATTCATAACTTTAATCAAAATTGAGAACAGTTTCATGTAGTTATTATTAATAATGTATTAAAGTGTCACCAGTCAATATCGAGCTACATTATACTATGAAGCTTACATGTGAACAGCAAAAGATAGCTTCTGCCTCTAGGTATTTAAAACATTAGCAAACAAAAGATGTGAGGAAAAAGAAAGGAACATAAAAGTAATTGTCCCAATTTATTCATCAGTAGATGTTTTAACAAGTTCATAAAATTACTAGAAGTAGCTTTCTCTCACCGCTTCATGTCCACTTTGCCTTATTAACTCGTTATCTCAAATTCTGTTGTTCTCCATGAAAGCACACCTTTTTGATAAAGCAAATTTTGTTAGGAACTGAAAAGCAAATAAAAAGTTCTGTCCCTCTCAGAACAGTAAAGTTGAACAGGAAAAATCTCCAGTCAAGAGCTGATTTTGAGAACTGTATTTTATGAAAGGATATGCAATAGGAAAGATACAAATCCATGGGTGCATGTAGTATTGAACGCAGTCAATTCACGAGGTATGGATTCCTGTTTTATTTTGCTATTCTAAAACGTGCTGCAGTTTGAAATTTATTGAAGGATAGATGATTGCAAGAGTGGAAAAGGTGATTTGAATTCCTAGAGAGAACAGTATAGGTTTGATATTGCTTGAAACTCAAAACCAAAATTGAGGTTATTAATCTTTTGCAGGGTTAAAAGACAAGATAATTAACATACTTCCTAGAGCACGTTGCCTCTGTTTTAGACAGACAGATTTTAGTAGGGAATTGAATTGCTTTTCCAATCTGTTAACTACATACATACCATAGATTTGTTTTTCACTCTTTGATTTAAAAGACTCATGTATGTTTATCCTGAACCTATCCATGTATTCATGAAATGTGCATCTAGAATAAGAATGTGAGAGAAGAGGAAAGGTTCTCTACTTATAACTAAATTAAATGATCTCTAGAGCTCCATACTTTGGAAATCATGCAGGCCACACAGTGGATTTAAAACTAGAAAAAATAAGTCCAGCTTTGAGGAATCTCCCAGAAGCCAGGAGTTGCTTTATTTGTTTAGCTGTAGTGTTCTTTATTCCATTTGTTAGATCTTCTGTTTCCAATTTTAAGCAGTTCATTCATGAGAGGGGCCAATATGTTGTGACTGAAGAACTGATATAGAGGAAAGTATTCTCCCAGCTCCTAATCACTTGTCTCTAGATTGACCTTGAAGAGTCACTTGAATACTTACTTTAGTTTCATGTCCATGAAATAAGAATGAAAAGTATTTTCTTACTCTTCATTATTCTTATGCAGCCTAGTGTAGGCTGGGATGTCTAGACAACATATCATATGACTTCATCTGTTACACTGAAAGATGGCTGTGGCATTTACACATTTCAAATGTGCTTCAATCCTATTTTTAAAATGTCTTAAGAGATTTAAGATACTAACTTCTCTATCTTATGGTGAGATTAAGAATCGTCATTAGGACTTAGTTAACAATGGCTAGTTTTCATGGGATTTCATTTTGAAAATGTTGTCCCTAGATTACTGCCCAAATCAAGCTATATACACAGCAAGAGAAATTAAATACAAGGAAGACTGGAAGACCTATTTGCTTTCAGTTAAGCTCCATCTTAAATCTGCTTTTGATATATTACCTTTTTGTGTTTTGAGGGGAAAGGTTAAGTGTTGGTGATTTAGAACACAAATTCTGCAGTCAAAATTAGACATTCTTGATTGTTTAATAATGTGATTTCTATTCATGGTGCCCAGCATAGAAAAATAATGCATAAGAGGCAATAGCAATTGAAAGTTATTTGATTGCAGTCTTTAAAAAGATGAAGTCTGTATTTATCTGTAATCAGCTGCCCTTTGAAAACCTCTTTTCCACTTAAAAACAGCTTTTGTACTGTCTGCATCTGCCATAATTGATTTTCAAAAGTCTGTAGTGTTGCTTCATTTTGCCTTCCTTGAAGGTCGGGGAGAACTGTTTTTCATAACCCAGAAATAGAGTGTGGATGTGTACTTCTCTGTTACAGGGTGATTTTTTTTTAGCTGTTTGGTTGTTTTTTTTTTAATAAACATCTCTTTGAAATTTCATTTTGCTCTTTTTCTGTCTTTTCAGCTTCTGGTTGGAATTATTCAAGCAGCTGAGCTGCCTGCATTAGATATGGGTGGTACATCTGATCCCTATGTGAAAGTGTTCCTGCTGCCTGATAAGAAGAAGAAATATGAAACAAAAGTCCACAGGAAGACTCTTAACCCTGTTTTCAATGAGCAATTTACATTCAAGGTATTATTTTTTATATATAATTATTGAAATATTTTTATTTATCCACTGTGTATCTCATGCTGGACTACTAAGTTAGATAACCTAGATAATTGGCAACTGCAGCATAGCATAGTTATTTTCCCTGTTTTTTCTCTGATGTTCGATCTTATGATGAAAGTAATGTAACACAAGGACAGATCTCAGCAAGTGTAAAATGCACAGTTTTATTTTAGGCATTTCAATTATCCTAATTTATGAAAATCTGATCCATGTCTCATGACTGGATGAAACTTACCAGAAAGTAGGAAAACAGTGCCACTTCGACAAATGTCAGGTGAATTTCACTAAACCAGCAATTGCTTTAAATATCTCTGTAGCCTGATTTATGAATTTCGGTATACCATTTCTTTTTGCCTCAAAAATAAATTAGAACTCACGAAAGGTAAATGAATGAAGGAATATATGGCAGATTAATCTTACTAGACTTTGTCATAGCTATTCTTTACCATGCTATTTTACATGTGAATAGAAATCACATCTTGGCTTAATAACATATGTATTAAATAAATGTAGCTAACACCCCTACGTTGTAATGTTTAAGTTGTTCCAGTTGTTCCCCTCAATTGTGTCTTTCTAAAACTGTAGCCATACCTATACTCCAGTTAAATGAAATAAAGAAATTCTATTCAGTGTGTTTCAAAGGGCTTCTCCTAATATACATTCCTCTGCTGTTACTGGAGGCCTTTCTATCTTATAACGACAGCCACAGATTGAAAACAGGAACAGTGAACGACTCAGGCTATGTAATCATTCAATGAGAAAGATATCCCTGGAGGCCAGAACTACTACTGCATATATAAGCTTATGTTTTCCCTTGAAGATGTTCATAAAAATAATCTTTTGTGGGGAGTTATTTTTTTCTTGAGCTTCCCTAAGAGACTATTTAAAAGAAAACAGTGTTATAAATTACAGATTCCCGTGCAGCTCACAAAAGAAAAGAAAGAATCAATAATGCTGTCATCTAAAATGAAGACACAAAATATAAATCAGAGCATCCACTCTTGGACTATAATGTCCATTTATTTTAAGTCACATCATAACATGCAAATTTTATTCTACAGAAAAAATGTTTCTTTTCCAAGCAAGACATGACAGAAGGGTTTAGGTGCTTATCAATATGGTACTAATCATTCCCTGTGTAATGTGGTCTGTACTCGAGAGAAAACTCACGGAGCATGCCAAGTACTGTCATTGTACTGGGACTACAGTAAAAAAAAAAACAAGTGACCATTTAAATAGTGTTGCAACTTTAATAAGTAATTTCCCTGGGAACTACTAATGGTATCACTCTTAAAGGGTGCAGGTGTTCACCAGGCTGCAGTAATATTAAGTATATACATGCATTGAGCTGCTGAAAGGAAGCGGAAGTCCAAGCTGAACTGCACCAGAAATATTCCTCCTCATTCCCACGATGGTGATTAAATGATCCCACAGAAAGATTCCTGCACTTCCTCAAGGCAGGAACAAGGTTCCTGTCTGGGAGGGTGATGTGTCTGTGCTGGAAGAAGGATCTTCTATATGTCTTTTAGCGAGGTCTCACCTGCACTCAGAGGCTGAGCCTCTCTGAGCAGAGCAGAAGGCAAGGAGCAGGAGCAATCCTTTACAAGAGCTGGGAGCGTCCTTGGTTGTCCTGAACAAAGCTGTGGGCTAAGGCTGCAGTAGAGGTAATGAAGGGGGGAAGCACTGCTACTAGATCTTCTTTAAAAATGAAGGTAGCTAAAATAAGCTTTATTGAGGTCAAGTTAATGATAAAAAATACACAGCAGTAAGTGTAGCCTTCTCCTGCATTCCAAATGACCAGTATCCATTAGGTGCAATTGTAAACTGCTGGAGAAGGGAGCTGTAGAACATTTCTCTTCTCCTGTTTTTGATGCTGCATAAAAAAGAAGTGAAATTTTCCAGAATTTTGCCTTCCACATAAATATACCTTCTATAGCTTTTTAGAAGCTATAAATAATTTACAGAATCAAAACAGCTTTTGCAGTAGTATTTGTGTACTTTTACTGCAATGCACCCACCCTGTACCCACTGAAATTACTGTACTCAGTAATGGAAGCTGGAACTGGCTCTCAACTTGAAAAGGTTCTTAAATGTCAGGAAAAAAGATAAACTACTTGTGTTATTAGGTAGTATTTTAAAGAGCAAGTGGAAGCCAAACAAACAACAAAAGACAGCAGTCCTATGTTTTAAACAGACCAGAACGTACAACAGTTAACAAGGCCAGTGGAAGTGCTGTGCTTTTGGTTCTTTTTTCATATAGACAATTAGCAGAGGAATGTTTACTGAAGCCCATGGAAACCATTTATACTTGCAGAATATGTTCAGATTGACCAAGTGTTCAATGTTAAGTGCAAACATTTCCTAAATTAGAGTTTTCTAGACAGCCACTCAAGTATAGCTTACCTGAGCTACACATCTTCATCTGAATATTAAAAATGTGACTCATAAACGTCCAAACCCACAGCATCTGTCTGAAACACATCAGCTGGAGAATTAGACAGAAATTGGCCTACTGCCACATGATTTCTAACTGTGCACTGTGACTTACAGGTACCTTAGTGTCTGCAGTGTGAAAGGTATCATAATGAAAAATATGCTGTGGGAAGTAAGAGGTAGTGGTGCTGTAAGAAAACTATTTAGCGTCTAATTACTTTGTGTCAGATACAGCAAGCCACTTCTGTTTTTTCATCAGTCTGGGAACTACCCATTTCTGAGTGATGACAGTTGATTTATAGGGAAAAAGATACCATTGTGTGAAAAGTTCATGTGTCTTCAGTGCAAATAATTGGGCTTCCTGTTTCAGTTTCATCAACCACAATATAATTTGAAGTAGAAGGAGAAAACCCGGTAGAGTGATGAGTGAGCTGCCACATTGTTCTATTGAGTGCCATAGTCTGGTCTCAAAAAATACTGCATGTGGTGACTCTGAAACAAATACAGCTCATAATTTTCTCTGCTTTTCAATTTGCCTGAGATGACAGCTGATAAACTAAAGAAATAGATTTGCATTGTAGTGAACTGATCTTTATTGTCAGAGATACTGAGTTTGTCATTTTCTCTTCTTTACAGGTGCCATACTCCGAGCTGGGTGGAAAAACTTTAGTGATGGCAGTTTATGATTTTGATCGCTTCTCCAAACATGATATTATTGGGGAATATAAGGTTGCAATGAACACGGTGGACTTTGGCCATGTGACTGAGGAGTGGAGGGACTTGCAAAGCGCAGAGAAAGAGGAGGTAATAAAAATTATCTGCTTCTTTTTTTCAGGACACTTTTATTCTCAGCTGGAGAAGCATTCAAACTAGCAACATTATTTTTGCCAAGACAGTCCCCATTTGTTATCAGCATTTCTCAGACTTCACCTGATAAACTTTGATAAGCATCTTTTCTAATACTCACTGAAAAGATGCATTCTCCTTTGCTAATCCTATTTTCAATCTTACTGATACTTTTTGCAGCATATTAAGGGAAGTTTTTATGAGTTTGACTTTTTCTTGGATTGTTGCATTTACGGTACATAGAGTTTGTATTTTAATCATAAGAATAATTGCATTTAGGCTTTTTTGTGGCCTTAAATTCTGAATGTTTTCATCTCAAAGCATCTTACTGTGCATGAAAATAATGGTAGGTTTTCATTTAAATGATTTAAAATCTTATTGGACTGCTGTGCAATAATATCCATTGAGTAGAATTGTGGATTTAACAAAGACCTTGCAAGGTGTGGCATCTCACTCAAATATTAATCACCTTTTATTTCTTTCCTCTCTGTGCCAACATACAGTACATCCATTATTTAATAAGTGTAGTCCAGCATGTACACAAGACACTTTTTGGAAATATTTCACCATTACATTGTGTGTTCTGTGAGGGTTGTCATACTGGCACATCCACCTTTTTTACCTACTGTAAGACTATTTTGTACTCAGTTTTTCATTTTTTTTTGTTTTGATTGCCCACTCTTAGTAATAAGAGTGCACAGCATGCTTCAGTTCTCTAGTGAAAGAAGAAGGAATCTGAATCTCCTCATTGTCTGATGTAGGTAACGAGCTGCTCTGGATTCAAACCACAGTTTCTGTAATTGAAAGGACAATATCTGAATGAAATCTTACTGTAATACAAGTGACAAAAAACTGAATATTGAATTAAGACTGTAAGTTATGGAAAATTGAGCAAATATATCATGTTGCCTTCTCAGAATTTCCAAAATGGTAGATTTCAGTCTTGCCATTTTGAGTGTTTGCTTTTAAGGACAGTATTTTCAAATGGATTTCTTCTACTACTTACTGATTTAAAGTCAGAGTTACATTGAGACTATTCTGCATGGTGACAATGTGTGGCTCCCTTATTACATGTGACATTGGTAACCATATTATGGGATGTTTTTCTTCCAATCTTAGAGATAAAGATGAAATAGCAATTTGGAAAAGAAACCTTCAGCGAGAACCAAGAGAGTTACATCTGTCAGTGGTTTGGGGAGCTGTATTTCACAGAAAATGTCATTCATATTTCCAGATTTGACTACTGCCAAGTACCTCACGACCTTCAAAGTTCCAGCCTCTTTGCTCAGCAGCAAAGATCCCAAGCAAATTCTGATAGATTTTATGCAGTAATTAGCAAGAGACAGGGCTGAGAGAGGTTCTTTTTTTATAACCTGTTATTGGTTCACACAGCAGACATTTCAGAATTCATAGCAGATATAGCTGTGACCAAGCGGTACTCTAGCTTCAGAATTAGCAAATACAGTACTACACACACAAAGACTAATATGACTTACATAGGGCAGACGTGTAGCAACTGAAACATGCACGTGTCTTGGTAGTGATCATATGGCAGCCTAGCTAACTGACTGTAAGAAAACACAATACAAATTGAATTAAAATCCTAAGCAACTGGAGTTCATCCAATATCATGTGATAAATGAAATTATATTACCACAAAAAAATCTTCTGTAGACTATTCTACATTTCATAGTTGCATAATGAATTCATACCTGCCAAGTGCACCTAGATGTAATCTACATTATTTGAAGAATAACATGATATGTTTTCTTTTTTGCCCTTACAACATTTAGTTAGGTTTTTGAGTTCTTAACAAGCTACTGCTAATTAGAATTCTGAATATGTTGGCAATTAAGTATCAGATACCAAAATATCCTTAATATCTTGATTATGATGCCAAAACAAGATTTTTGCCAAAGCACATCAGTGGCAAAGTCACCTTGAAAGAGCCGTATAGGTGGCATCAGTCAAATTGAGTATAAAAATCTTATTTTCATTTCACTTGATGTAGAATTCTGTTGTTGACACCGTAGAATACACAATTTAATTAACTCTGTTATCACAGAGGGCAAAATCATTTTACGAGCTGTTACTCCTCTATTTGCTCATAAAGTTCCACTGTACTTCCTGTCTTTTTTTCTAAATGGGCTTGAAATTGATGGCAGAGGATGAAGATTTAATGAAATATTTGAAGTTCTCAAAGCCCAGCCATTTGAATGCCATCTCTCTGATACTCCCTTCTCTTCTGGAAAGGGTCTTATTAATATATTTATGTTGGTGAAGCATTTGGAAGGTACAAGACTTCATGTAAGTATTTGTTATGGCTGAGAAGGGCTTTGTCAATGTATGATGGTGATTTATCTATTAGTCCTTCAGTCTCCTGCATCTGAATGCATGGGAGGGAAGAGTATATACTGAAAGATGAGTCACTTCTACCAAGTCTGACATATAATGTTTCGGGCACAGAGCATTAAAGAAACAGATGACAGGAGTTCTCTCCTCTGTGTCGTCTACCAGATGTCATTACCATTAACTTTATCTGAGTACAAACTACACCCAGTGTCTGTTATCACTCCAGTACAGAAGGCCAGACAGACCTCTTCTTTGCTCACCACAGCATGATTCACACTGAGAGTCATCTCTCACGTACTTCAACTGATTTCACTTCAGCCATTTCTGTTATATTGGTACTTCAATTGAAAACCTGTTGTAGCAAACATTCAAAGAAATTTTGGCAAGTGGGGGAAGGAAGAACAGAAACAACTCTTTCTTTTGAAAGCAGTTGAGAAACAGAGCCTCCTTCTGTAAGGATAGAGATCTTCAAACTGACACTGTCTACTGTCAAGACTTCTGCAGACCTCTAATGACTGCCATCATGTTACTCCATGGAGAAGAAACCCACTTGATCATATGGGAGGGAAGATTTAGGTTGGATATCAGGGGGAAGTTCTTTACAGAGAGAGTGGTGAGGTGCTGGAACAGGCTGCCCAGAGAGGTTGTGGATGCCACGTCCCTGAAAATGTTCAAGGCTAGATTGGATGGGGCCCTGGGCAGCCTCGTTTAGTATTAAATGTGGAGGTTGGTCGCCCTGCATGTGGCAGGGGGGTTGGAGATAGTTGATCCCTGAGGTCCCTTCCAACCCTGGCCATTCTTTGATTCTGTGATTTGTTTCACAGTGGACTGTAATGGGAATGTTTTGTATGTGGCTTCTGAGGTGGAAATCTGCTGGAAAACATCAGCAAGGTGGGCAACAGCTTCTTTCCTATTTGATATACAATCCCAGTCAGAGAGATGCTACAATACTGCCTTGAAGATAGGTAAAATGGAGGCAATCTGCAGTTAGGAAGTGGAATACCACTTTTGTGAATCTTGACAGTTACACAATTCATATGGACTGTCCTCCTTGAAAGTAAAAGGAGATTGAAAGAAAGAGATGGAAAAGAGGGCATGTTTATTTCATCTTTTGTTAAGCTTCATAGAAGTTGAATACTGACAAAACTAGCAAGCTGGCTAACTTAGTGAATCCTGAGCACTGAAACTTGTAGAGTTAAGAGCAAAGGACTTTTTTACAAATGTCACTGTCAAATCAATGCAGCAAATCACTGTCATTTTCTGTTATATCAGAGATGGATAGAAGATCTAATAGACCTTTTCCAATCTCTAATAATAACACTTAGCTCTTGTACAGCTTTGCAGATATCATAATGCTTCACAAAAGGAAGTATTATTATCACTATGGAGATGCTGTCAGAATGTCAGACAAATTTTAAAATGAGAGGTCTCCTTTATTTAGCAGAATACTATATTTGATCGCTTTGTTTTCTGTATGGTGCTCAAGTTTTCTCAAATTCACTTCAACTTTAAAATGTTAAATTTAAAATGTTACATTTAAGGTTTTTTAGTTTTCAAATTTTGTGGCAGAATTACATGCAGTAATTGCACAATGTTAAGTATAGACCAAGCACATCTGTCCTAAAGAGGAACTGAATTTTTTAGAGAGACAGAACAGGACAGAAAATCTTAATATGAGCGAAATGGCTTAAGTTTGAGAATAAGCAAGCCTGATGTGAAATCGTTCAGTAGTTAATTAGCTCTTTTTTCATCTTTACATTGAAGATGCTGAAATGCTATGATTTTATAGGTAAAACCACATGACTTAGTAGAGCAGCTGCGGTACTGTTTCAGGCTATTAGAATTCTGCATTTCTTTTATCACCTTTCGTGTTCAAACTGCCGACAACCCCACTGTATACATTTGTTGAGTATCATGTTTCTTTACTCTCTCTGGAAAAGGCATCTAACTTTGGAGGTCAGAGACATCCTTTTTTATATAACAAGAAGAATTGGCTTACCTGAAATCAAAAGGGATTCACCTCGGACTGTCTGACTCTATAGAAATTAAATTCAAATTCAGAGGGTGGAGTATAAGAAGCAGAAGTTTTGTGATAATGTTATGTTCTGTCTCTTACTGGTGCCCATTGATTCAGGATCAGAATCTCAGAAAAACTTGCATGGCGTGATTGTTGAAATGTGCATATTAGCATTTGACTTTCAAGCATGGAAAAGCATCTCGAGGTTAAACTGCTGACAGAATGTATCCTACACTTGCTGCTGTCCATTTTTTAATAATCCATACACAAAAAAATGATTTGAGACAAGATACATTCCTAATGGCGTTGCAGAAAGCTACAAAGTCAAAAGAAGGAACAGTGGACAACTCCCCAACACTACATCTTCATGTTACTGTTTTTTGGGTTTTTTAAAGTGCTTGAGTATAGGATATTTTTAAATGTATAATGGAGGAGAAAGAGTAGACCAACCAAGGAGTTTGAAAGCACTGGAATTGGATGTTAAACACAAAGTGGCATTTGGAAAGGAAGATTCTGGACAGCCTTTTAATAGGCTTTTCAGAAAGATACTAAGAGGGATCAAAATCATCAAAAGAATTCTTTTTACAAA